AATCGCGAAACTTCGACAAAAACTTAATATAAAAAAGAGAAAAGAAAACCGTTTCGATTTTGAGAATTTTAATTTGGAAAAATTAAAAAATCCATCAATTAGAAACCAATTCGAGCTAGATGTTAAGAATAGGTTTGAAGCTTTAGAGCTTCCTGACGAGGACCACGAGGATATTGACAAGTTATGGATAGAGATCAGGATAATATTAAAGCGGTCGGTAACTCGTGTCTAGGAAAAAAGGAAAATAAGAATAACAAACCGTGGTTTGATGAAGATTGCTTAAACATGTGTGAAAAAAGAAAAGCCGCTAAATTAAAAGCTCTAAATAATCCTAGCGAAGACAATCTGGAATACTTCCGAATCTCAAAGAACGAAACGACAAAATTGCTCAAAAATAAAAAAAGGGAGTATCTTAAAAATAAAATAATTGAAATAGAAACTAATAGAATCGAAAATAACGTAAGAGACATGTACAAAGGTATAAACAGATCACGTAAATATGTAGGGCCCGTAACGTCTGGAATTAGGGATGATAATAACAATATTCTGACCGATCCGGTTGACATATTGAATAAGTTTAAGGACCACTTTGACAATATTTTAAATACGGGAAATTATGATCTGTGTCCTCCTTCTGAGTACCAGAGTGCTGAACCGTTAATAGAAGGACCAAGTAAAGAGGAAGTTGAAGTAGCTATCGGAAAATTAAAATCATATAAAGCAGCGGGAATCGATAATATTCCTACTGAACTAATTAAGGCATGCGGGGAAGCTGGAGTTTCTAAAATACATCGGTTGGTTAAAAAGATCTGGGTGAACGAGAAATTACCTGAAGAATGGAAAGAATCTATTCTTATTCCGATTCACAAAAAGGGTCCGAGGACGGATTGTAATAACTATCGAGGAATTTCACTCCTTCCGGTATGTTATAAAATATTCACTTTAATCTTAACCAGTCGAATCACGGAATACGCCGAGGAAATTATCGGAGACTACCAATGCGGATTTAGACGGAATCGTTCGACTATTGATCAAATATTTTCTTTACGGCAAATATTAGAGAAAAAATTGGAGTATAACGGTATTGTTCACCAGCTGTATATAGATTTTAAAAAGGCTTACGATTCTATTGACCGCCAGAAACTGTATAATATTCTAATCGAGCAGGGGATTCCAAAAAAACTAGTAAATCTAGTCAGGATGTGCTTGACGGAGACACTCAATAAAGTTAGAATCGGTAATAATTTGTCCGAAAAATTTGAGGTTCGTTCGGGCTTAAAACAGGGGGATTCTCTTTCGCCTGTCCTGTTCAATTTGGCATTAGAACATGCCATTAGGGAGGTAATGCGAACCGAGAAAGGGTTGGATCTGGGCGGGACAACATCCGTGCTGGGCTATGCTGATGATCTGGTACTGTTAAGCGAAGACGTTGAAACTATAAAACTAAATACGACAACGTTAATGAAAGCCGGTAAAGAACTAGGACTCGAAATAAACGTGGATAAAACAAAATATATGGTTAGCTGCAAAAATGGCGATACTACTGGTGATATCGATATAGATGGTAATATGTTTGAACAGGTAGATAAATTTAGGTATCTAGGTTCTACGATAACTAGAAAAAACGAAATTGAAGAAGAGATTAAGGTTAGACTGAAGGCGGGGAATGCTTGTTATTTTTCTGTGACAAAACTACTTAGTTCGCGCCTCTTGTCCCGAAACTTAAAAATTAGAATCTATAAAACAATTATCTTGCCTACAGTTCTTTATGGATGCGAAACTTGGCCGCTTACATTAAGGGATGAGCAGCGTCTTAAGGTTTTTGAAAATAAAGTATTGCGTAGAATATTCGGACCGAAGAAGGATGAGTTAACCGGAGAGTTCAGACGGTTACACAACGCCGAATTGCGTGAGCTGTATCCGGGTAATATAATTGAGGTAATTTCATCGCGGCGAATCAAATGGGCTTGTAAAGTTGTTGGGCTTAGTAACGAGAGAATTCCTAAAAGGTTAATATTTGCTGTGCCGAATGGTAAGCGTCCGAGGGGTAGACCGAAGCGAAGGTGGGAAGATTGCATTAAAGCCGATCTGAAGGGACTGGGTTTGGACGGCGAACGGTGGAGGGAGGTGTGTAACAAGCGATTGGTGGTGTCGGCATCGAACCTTCGGGTTCGCTAAGCCTTATTATTATTATTTATTTAGTATCATTGTCTTCTACGCATCAAGACTTAATCAGATAGTTCGTTTTCATTGCACGCTTGTTAAGACAAAAACATTTACGAAGTTAGTATTAATTGAGCACACCAAGATATTTTCTGGTGCATCTGTATATAAACGGCAGGTTACTAAATTCAGAACTGAGCTCATTGCTGGGCATCGGAATTCCATCTGGCCATTCCTAAACTCATAGGTTATTCCATAAATAAAATTTAGCACGTTCCTTCATTCATCAAGCGAATAATCGACAGGTGGATGGTTCCATGGGCTTTTGAGGTCGATAGATCAGCTGAATTGACCTCATTATAACCTCAGTGTGGTTATTTCTCAATTTACTTTACATATTTTTTTTTAAAGTTTACTTTTTTTCTATATCTATTTCTGTTTAGGAGAACAACGATTTAGTAGGTAACTGTTTTCTTATACATTTTTATTTTTTATTTGTTTCGTAATCTTGCAGGAATGCTAACTTTGTGCTAAAATCCAGCAGGTCCTTTCTAAGCTAAGCTTAAATCGTTGTCATCTGAAGCTAGATTAATATATTGATTTCTTGAATCTTATTAGCGCTGAGTATAGAAACTTGATTCTCTTAGTAATCAGTCGGTAACGGAGAAGTCAATCATTTTCATCCTGGTATTAAATTGTAGCCGTGGGTGAGTGCTATGATGTTTTATATTTTGAATTACTAGCTCACGATTCTGTCTTTTTCTTTTATTTTTTTCCTATGAGTTTATTACTGTATATATCAAAGTTCTTTCGACTTTAATATTATTAGATAAACTTAAAAAAATTATTCTAAACCAGATTTTTAAAAACACATCAAGTGCTGTGTATGTACACTTTTATTTGCATTTAAGGAACTATCATATACTGCGCACAGATATATCCTTTTATATGTATATATATTACACACATAAAAGGATATATTTGTGCGCAGTATATGATAGTTCCTTAAATGCAAATAATATAATATATATATATGCATATTTATAAATCATCATTTACAGACAAAAAATGGTGTAGGTACTTCCTTTAGAAAGTAAAAACAATGATAATTTGTATTATTTCATGATATATTCTTCCTTTGTACTACGAAGTTAAACAGACAGGGCGAAAATATTTAAAAAAAAGAAATATAATGCATGAATACTTCTAATATGCCATAAAATATCAAATCAAAGTTATATTTTGCACCATAGTATTAAATAGAATATGTTCTACATTCATTTTTTTTCTAACTAAATTTGATTTTAGGTCCTTACTGCCGTACGAATAAGCAGAATATTCATTGTGTTTATTTATGAGATTAAAATATTTATTAACGGCTGTGCTTTAAAATATAACTTCTATCTATCAGACCAAGATAATATTATCTTCAGTGCTAGATTCAAGCTATGCTTGGGCGAAAACCGAGTAACGAGTATTTTACTCATCACTATTTACTATTTAATAATGAGTTCAGGTGATCGTCAATAATCAACTCAAGTACAAGTAATTAAATTCCTCGTTAATCAGAAAGGTGTATGGAACACTTGGTACTAAGTTATGGTAGTAGTGTGTTTGCCCATCTTTGGTTCAATCCATATCATACCATGATGTTAAAGGATATTTGTACCATTTATATGTAATAATAAAAGTCATATTTTATTTTTATTTCTAAGAAATAAAAATTCCATTTAGCTTATTGTATTGTTCCGACCCATGAAATTATTATATATTATTTGTGTCATGCTTATTATTCATGTATATTTGACATCCAATTTTTATTTTATAAGGTATAAGACTGTGACTGTATTAATTTAATTGTAAATTATATTACATATTTTAACTAGTGATTATTAAACTGTAATATTTGAACTATAGTATTAGTTCATTAATTAAGTTTCCGTTAACTTCAATTCTAAATTAAATTAAAATTAACCTACCTTCTTAAAATCAGATCCAATAAGATAATATTTTATGATATTTTTTTGCTATATGAACTTGAAGTTGAAGGGATTTTTCACTTATATGTAAAACAATATAAAGACTTAAAATACTCTTAAAAGAATTAACGAAAAATTATCTTAACGAAACCTTAGACAAATGAATAATTTTGAAGATATTAATTTGCCTTTAAAATCTACTGGTATTTCAAATGTTTTACTTCAGTTACAAACAATTTATTTCCTTGTCAATTAAAAAGGCAAATTCTGTGTATTGAGGCTCTCCGTAAATTCATTTCTTAAAGCTCTATTTCGATTAATACCTTTCAACTTGTTGAATGCTAATAAAATAATTGTTTTACAATGGTTTCTTATCATGTACTAATAATGATTTGTTGATGGCTTCTTAGACAGTAATATTAGCCGGGCTTAGCAACCTGGGTCATTTAAATTATTTTAGTTTTTTTAAATTTTTGTTTTGATATTTAATTTGATCAATTCATTTTTCAAATCAATATTTCATATTTCAGTGTTAATTGGATGGTAACATTTTATGTAATGTCAATTAATGGCGGTAGACAGCTACTGGTGTAGGAAAGAGGGCACAGAAAGCTACTTTCGCCGAGATCTATTATGTGGCCGTGTTAAAGGCTGCTACGTCACATTCTTCAACAGCTGAGCTGGGTAAATAGAGGGGATGGGGAGGGGATGGCGAGGGGTGGGGAACTGGGTCACCCAATGAGCGCTCGCCTCTGGGTCACGTGGTATTGTTGTTATCTGTCAGCTGAGCGGCCGGCATTGCTCTGCCAAACAGAGGCTGAGACAGTTATGCTCCTCCTGCTAGGGCTACTTTGAGACATGTCGACCGGCAAACGGCTCGCAAAGAGATCCATCATCGGGACCCGCGTGTGCGTCCGTGGTGACGATGGTATTTATTATTCGGGAGTGATCAACGCCGTCAAATCGTGTACAAACGATTCGCGTTATTCAGTGCGGTTCGACCCGACCCCCAAGGCACCGGCACCGAAACGTGAGTACAGAGACGTGGAACTGATCGGTCCCGGCTTCCAGACCATGCAAGGGATAAGGCTACTCAAAGGACAAAGGGTTTACATCACCTACAACGGGCGAGAGACTTCTGGAGAGGTGCTTCACCACAGGCAAGACGAAGACGAAGTCCTCATATCTGTCAACCCTCCAGGGGCAGAAGTAAGTCATATTTCATTATGAATCATGACAGTTTTACTCATTTATTACCGCTCTCAACCGACAAATACCAGTTGTTACTACGCAGTAGTGGCCCTGTGAAACGTACTCCGACTGACTATGTAAATAATATCTCATAGTTTTTCTCATATCTCATTGAAAAACAAACTTATATATTTTTAAAAGTGCTTCAGTGAAGTGATCATTATTTTTTCCCTATAACTACCGAAACATTACTTTTCCCTTAAATTTCTCTAAAAAAAAAGTGATGCTTTCATAGCAACTACTCCTTCGAGTGCCTCTGGTTCCTGTTGCTATGCGGCTTCTTATAAGGACATCTTTAATCGATTAGTATTTTTCTGTCGTACAACTTATAATCTCTTGTCTAATAAAAGTTTAATTAACGCTATAACAAATTTCATACAGCTATTCGGCCATTTCTTTAATAATATTTTATCTAATACGCAGTAATTGACACTGATTATTAATATATTTTGTTATAATCTATCAACAAATTATATAACATTATGATCTAGTCAGAATTAGTCATTGACGAAAATATATTTGGGAACCCCTGGGCGGGCGTCTAGGCGAAATTTCTCAATCTGCTCAAACCTTGACCCGGTTATTGAGCAAACAGTTTTTTCGCCAGGGATCGGTTGCCAAATTCTCTCGGAGCGAAATAAGAACTCGTGGTAATAATTCCATTGATTTCGAAACGAGATTCGGAATGATAAAAATAGAAAGTTGGAATTCGTTTTTATTTATTTTTATTATTATTTTTTTTTAAATATTCTTTTATTAAGACAATACATCGATTAGGTTTCGGTAAATGTTTGTAATTAAATTGATTTTTATGTCAAAATTCTTACTTGGTGCGTTCGGTGTGGTTCTGTGTACATCTGGATTCATTTTATAGATAGATTCGTTCTTCTGAGGGTGATAAGGGGTTAAATATCGATAGATCGAAGCGAAATCTTGTTGTTTTTAATATTTGTGTGTGTTTTATGGAGTAATTAACTATAATTATTGTTAAAAAACCCGAGATACGCTGACTAGGAGAGGGGACACGGTTGTAACTGAATGCTCCGCCATCATGTACGGTCACTGCTTTCGAAATTTACGCTTTTTCTTGTCGTATTTTTTGTAGGTGTTGTATAACGTTCAAGCGCGCGTTGTATTTTGTATATTAGATCGTATATATTATTAGTAATATACATATTATGAGCGAGAGAGAGCGTGCCGGTAGTTGAACAAGGAAGGAGCCGGCTATGTCCTTGTGTGACGTCAGCCTGTTTACTAGAAGCAGCCGGCCGGCTACGCGGAGTTTTATTTTCGCCTCCCGTATCTCAACTGCGCCTCCTCTTGAATCTCTTGTATTATCTCTTTTATTATTAATTATATCACTCGTATCTGTCAACAATTGTAGCTTTATTGTTCGGGGATTGTCGAGGCTTGCGGGTGTTTGCCGAGCAGGATTGAACAGGCCGTGTAGCGGTTCAGAAGGTCCATGACATGAGTGTCATCTACTCTGCCCACGCTCCTCTTATCTTCCTTCTTTCCATTCGGGCCGATATCTCACCAGTCTATAACATAAGAGTTTTGAAAATCAATATCAACTATTTTAAATAATTTATATGCGAAAAGATCAATAAAATAGAGGGTTTTTTTTTTAATTTATATATTTGTTTATACTCTCTGTGCTATTTTATAAAATAACCCAAGGACAGTGTATTTGTTATTTTGTACATGCTCCATGCATTAATCATAAATACATGTACCGATTCAAGGACATATTACATAGTTCTTATAAAAGGTTTATGTTACGTCGTCGTGGTAATAAAATAATGGCAAGATATTAGAGAATGAAACAAATTTACAATAAAAAAGAACTAAAAAATATGTAAAAAAGTAAAAGAGAAAGCTAAAACTTGGAGTTGTTGAAAATCAACTTAATAAGTGAAATAAAATTTTTATGAACCATATTTCAATATTGAACACAAATGATTTTACCTATATTTTATTACCAAGTTTTTATTAAAAGAAAAAAAAATGTGATTTTTATATTGTTTTTATTAATTTTTTTTCCACAATACTAATTAAATTAAGCTTGATGGATGGCCTCGCTTTCTCATAATTTAGACATATTATTAGAATGCTACCAGCGGGTCGTTTCTCAATAGATATTTTCATGTGATATTTATTTGTACAAAGTTACTCAATCTATTTTTTTTTTTTTTTTTTTTTTAATACAGTTCTAATATCACGAATAAATAAAAAAAATTGTTTTTTAAAAACCTTTTAAAAGCTATGAGATTCTGTTTACAAGTGCGTTATCATCTGAAAAAAATAGTTAATTATTATTTTATAAAGCTGTAGTTGTTCAAAATTCTGGACTACCAATGATTCCACCACTTAAAACTTTTTGAAATTGCGTGATTTAATGTTCCATTCAACCATTTTCGACCATTCCAACAGATCGTTAAAATTGACATTGATTTTAGTAGTAGTGCATTAAGTTGATCAGATAATGCACTCTTTCCATGGACAGTTCACCTAAAAGAACGTCAAACATTTTTGTATTTTTTTTAGTGTGAAAAAATCCTAAAATGTGTAAATAAGCTGAAACTCGAAAATAATTTTTAATTTATTTTTTTAATCAGATTAGAACAGCTTATCTAACTAAGTTACTTAAGGTAATTTTTAACGCAGTACCTATTGCGTTAGTCGAACATTAAGTTATAAAAAATGTAATAAATAAATATCATGTATGCATATCATTATTTATTGGTGGATGAAAATTAAATAAATTTATTTATTAGTTTGGTTTCATTCAAAAATTAAAAAAAATTAATCTCAAGAATTTAATCTGTTGAGAAGTGTTATTCCTAATTGTCATTAGCATTTTACTTGGATTCCGTCAAGACGTACAAGTCTGTCACTCGAGCATTCTTTGCTAGAAATTAACATACGTATTCAAATGTGAATTTTTTTTCTCTCCTCTATACCTTTGATTTCTGTCAACTTATATTCTCTTTCTGTGTCAGCAACACATTTATGAACGGTGAAAGTAATCATATATTATTATTTTAATTAATTAAATTTTCCTGTAATAATCAAGAAATGAACATTAAAGATTAAATTTAGCAAAATTAACAATTCGTGAGCATGTAATTTTTGGGTAATGAAGTACGCAACTAATTGTGTATTGTTATTTTGAAACTATTGAAAAATATAACCGTTAGGTGCATATATTTAACTTTATAACTTTATAACTATTATAACTCTCTGATTAAAAAAAAAAAATAATCGTTGAAGGTTCATTTCATTACTGCCGACGTGGTCAAATAGTGATCATTTCAAGGTTAACATCAAATGAGATACTCAAGAAAACAGAAAATTTTATTTTAAGTATGTAATGTCCATTACTACCCCATTAATAGCAGAATATCTTAGAGTAACACTTGTAAATTAAATAAAATTATTATACGAATTATTTCGTTGATACTAAAGTTATTTATAGCGAATACCTTCAAAAGGGGGATTCTGCGTTTAAAATTATTAAATATACTAGTCTGGAGATATCATAGTATAGAAAAATAAACTATACTAAAAAATTGTAATAATTTGTTGTATTTTCTGGTAACCTTCAGGTGGAAAGAGATCTCTCACCCTTTTCTTTTTCCAAACTTCTTATATTAAAAGCATTGGCTTGTAGTTCCAGTCTTGTTAAACTCTTTTATTAATCGTTTGGTAGTTGATATTACTTAATTTTCGTTATTTTTTCCGAAGTTTGAGTTAATTGTTGGTACTATTTCATACCTAATCTTATTTTTTTAGAGCTGGGTTGTTATACTGTTATTTAGATATTTGGTATTATCTTGATTCGAGTCTGCTTGCGATGTGGCACAACTCCCCTTTACAGCAACGAAATTTCGTTTTAAGTAACTATATATGAAGTCTGGATATCAGTAATGGTCTATGTGCCAAACCAAAAAAATAAATAATTGGACAAACTTAGTGCCATTTCTAAACCGATCATTAATAATGGTTGTGGAATTTATCCAATTTTAAAGGCTGTTGGAAACGGTATTTTGTTTGCCTGTAATTGTGTTTGTCAATTTTTTTTTTAGTTTGTAATTTAGTCCGTTATTGATGCCCAGTCTCCATGGATCGTTGCTTGAGAGGTGAGTTTATTGCTATAAGGGGAGGTTGTAGTATATTGCAAACATACCAAAGCTAAAATATTAAAATAACACGCCCCATAAAACGGAAGTTAAGTCTGTTATTGTTCTTCAGTCTTCATGTATTGAGTTGTTTGAAATTAAACTCTCTATAACTTATAATGCAGCGATGACCATTTCTCCCAAGGTCGATGGCGCATTCCATATTAACTTTTTCCTTTCCTTTTCTTAAAAACAGTGCAAAGGAAAGTATAATTTTAAAAATTATAGATCATGTAAAATTACACTTCCTCTCTCTTTTCTATGTTTTCACTTTGTTCCTTGCTTTGAAAGTTTCTCCGGATCGAACCCTTTTTATGGTGTAACTTGCTCCAAACAACCCCCTTCTGGGTACGTACTCCTGTTTTAATGTTTTCGATAGAGTTTTGATTTAGGTGTCAAATTCGTTTGTGGACTTATGGATTTTTGATCGCATTTAATTACATTTAGTTACTTTTTTTTTTTTTTTTTTTTGTAATGCCAGATACAAAAGGATTACCCTCTGCTCTCTCCGACCTCAGCCTAGAAAATTCCGGCCATGACGCGTCAGTTTCGCTGGGAAAACAATGGCGTGGCCCGATTCGGAGCGAGCGATCGTCCCTATTGTGCCCGTACGGTAGTAGCATAGTGTACAATAACGTGACTGATTAGAGAAATCTGCATTCTTCTCGAGCCAAATATCTCTAATCCCATGAGTATACTGATAATCGCTATCGGCTGGAGGACTGCTCAAATCCACCTTATCGGAGGTGCACTATCTGACTTCAGGAAAAAAAAATCACTGATTAGAGAAACCTTTTA